TTCTTTTAACAAAAAAGTATTTATTTTGTGGTGTGAAGAAGATATTTATAGGTATGGAAGTGTAATTTGCTACTTCAATCAAGTTTTCTATTACCCGTGTTACTATTTTTTTAGTTATATCGTGTACTGATACTTTTTTTGTGTCGTATCAATAAATAATATGTTTGATTGCATTGCGTTCTAGATTTTTTTAGTTTTTAGAGATTATAACATAGCACATGTGAGGTCTTTTTAGGATATTAATGCTTCATAATGCTTTGTCCTTAGTTGTTTCAACACGTATGAATCAACCTTCTTTTGTTCTTTTAATTATTACTTACTTGATGAAGTATAACCAGCAATTATTTGAGATTAAGTGCCAAGGGTAGCTTGAACTCAAAAAAGGAAATTATTTGATTAACTATCACCATTCTTTCCTCCTCAATTGACAACAATGAGTTTCATCATTATCTTTAATTTATGCATGACTCAAGCTTATTCTCACTTGCTTTTAGAAGCTCTCTTCTATAAAATTGGATTTCCAAGAGTGAAGTTAATTCTCTTTATTGATCTATCTTCCTCTTCAAACTTCTTTATGTGTGTAGTCTTATAACTCCAAGGTTAATATATTGCCCTATAAACTTTAAATAAGTGAAAATTTATCTTTTCAAATATCATTTAAAATAGATTTTTGTCTCTTATTACTTTAATTACTTGTAAATTATTTAAACTAACTTGTAATATTTTCTTTTATGTTTCACCTGAATGCATGACACATTGTATCTTTTATACCATATTGACAATATATTTAAATTTTTTTATTTGTTAAGGTACTCTTTCACATATATGAGCGCCTAAAATAGAATAAATGAGCAATGGTTCTTATCTATAATTCCTCAAAATGCATATCACACAAGTATAGGTCTCATTATGAGGTTCGGAAAAACAAATTATTTTATGAGTGGTCACTCAATTCGGGTAAACGAGCATTGGTGCCTACCTATAAGTCCTCAAAATGTACATTCACGCAAGTGTAGGTCTCATTACAAGGTTTAGAAAAACAAGTTCTTTTATGTGTATTTGAAAGAAAATAATTAAGAGGTGATTTGTATTAACTTGCTACTTGAAATTTTTGCAATAAATTAATATTATATTTTACAAAATAAAATCATTTTTTTTATATAAATTTATACATTAATCATATATAAATATAAATTATAATATAATACAATATAAGAACATAGATATGCTAGCTATTTATTTAATTTAAAGGGTAATTGATAAATAAAATAATTGAGACATTGTTATCGTTGATCACTTGGAGGCGGGGGTGAAGCGTGCGGTAAGTACAAAAGAGGGATGATGATGATTCAATGCACACACACACATTATTTACTTATTTTTGTCACAAACAAAACTGCGTTTATGGATGGATTGAAAAGGACCGGGACATGCGCGGTCGTGGTGGGGTTTCCCATTTGCCTCTCGCACGTGGGCTTCGTAAAGTCTGTCATTTTGACCATTCACCTTTTGTCGGTCCCCCCATCCTCCCTCCCTCCAGAATTTTCACATGCCCATTATTTTCTTTTTCTTAAAAATATAATAATCCAATATCACATATATACATATACATATATTTAATCCTAATTACCCATCTACTAGTAAAAACTCACAAGATGATATGGCCGACAACAGAATATTAGATTACCAACTTCAGCTCCTGTGCACCTGACAACTGTGACCCCACGACTTACACCACTCCCCACGGGTTACACCAAAACATAAAAGTTACTGCCTTCATCTGCCGACACGTGTCCCAAAACTTCTGGGTTTATTCTACTCTGTGCACCTGACACACACACACACACACACACACACAACAAAACTCGCTTCCCTCAATGCCAGTCACAGTGCCACACCCACACGTAGGGAAAACAACAAAACGTAAAAAAGAAAAGATGGGTTTCAACGTAACGACCATCGGGACCGTACACGTGGCGCACGGCTATGAATCCAAACTCCAATAATTCAATCATGGTTTTGACCCTATAACCTACAAACTGCTAAAAGTTTATTCAAAAGGTGGAATGGGGGCCGTTTGGATGTTCCTCTTACACCTTGTTTGGAAGACAACGTTTACAAGGAGATTAATTTTATATTTGGCTTTGTTGTTTGGTTCAAGACAACAAAATCAGAACCAAGCTTATGATAAAGACCCACAAAAATTGGATCATTATTCTGTATAATTAAACCATAATCCATGATTATCACAACTTCTAATCAATCAACATAATAGACAAACAAAAGGGTGACCCAAAAAACATGGACTACCATCACATATTTTTTATCAAAGTCTTTATAAAGGTAAATCAATGAAGGTTACGAAAAAGTTAAACATGAAACTATCTTATCAAGTAACAATTTATTTTTACATTTTACATAATTATATATTAACATATAGAGATGACGAAGATAATTAACAAAACGTATTAATAATATTGAATTAAATTAATAAACGAATAGTATGAATAAAGTTGCACCTAATTGTAAGTTCTTATGATTAATGGGCCTACATGAATGTGTATAATATGAAAGTGGGTGCGACCTACCACTCAACTTACAACCTTTTTCAAGTCGGCTCTTTTGTTTACGTAATTATACCATTAGGGTATCTTTTGTGCTATAACATTATCCAATCTCAACAACAATACCCACAAAGTGTTTAAAGTTTTCCTTTTTCTTTTCTTTACAAAAAAAAATAATAATAACTAAATTTTTAAAGTGTAATAGGTCAAAAATCAGATTAGTTTATATTTTAACTAAACAATTTTTCTTAATTATATATATTTTTCAGTTAAAAATCGTAACATTGTATCGGAATGAATTCCATTTTTCTATATCGGAATTTATTAAGTTGGTGATATGATCTCTTCCTAACTTGATAGTCTAAAAATTTTTGGAATCTATAGGTTTGGTTTGGCGCAGTCAAGAAAGGCTTAGGCATAGGACAAACCCACGTGACTGCAACATTACACGACTCTCACTCCAATCAATCTTAAAAACAGTTTGGTTTTGCAGTATATACTAATTACGAAGTCCTTGAAATTAATAATCAACCACAATCTTCTTCATGGAACTAAGCAACACAAAAATTAATTAACCCTAAGGAAATTAAGCATCAATTACTTTCTCCCATGTTCAGCCTTAAACTAAATCTCATGGTAATTAATTAAGTTATAGTTTATGATTCAGGTACCATATATAGAATCTGGGTATATGTATATATATTTCTATGATGAAGACGACACCAGAAGTGATTGTTTTGAGCTGGGAACAAGGCTACAGATCTCAATAAACACAGGTAAAATCTGCAGGTTGGTACATACAGCATGTATAATTTTTAGCTCCTGATGCACAGGAATTGAATTTGTAAGACCATATATGCCTGAAGCGTAGATTATTGATCTAAAGCAAACAAACCAGAGCTCAAAGTAGCTAAATTTGAAAAGAAAAATGAAAGTTACCCAGAAGAGGAGAGGAAAAAATTAACATGATAAATGAATTTGCTAAATAAATTCATGATATTTATATATATCTACTTTACATGTTTAGGCCATGGTAAAAGACCAACCCCTTAACAAAAATTGGTCAAATACTCTTTTTCTCTTCGGATCCGCAGGCAGCTATATTTACACTCCACCAAAAGAAAAAAAATATAGAAAAAAAAAAAAAAGAGCTCAAAGATCCTCATAGCCACCATGAGCAGCGAGCTACGAGGAAATTATTGGCTAATCATGCCAGCAGAGAAGCATGACGACGCATCTTCTTATGATGTAAAGTCTGGCTCTTTGCTCTCTAAGGACTCCTCCCAGGCCACGGCTGGATGAAAGTCTCCTCTTTGATCCACCCATGCTGGCACTGTTCATCTTCATCTTCTTCCTCTGAGAATTTTAATGAATGAAAACTAAGACTGTGTTTGGTTGCAGTAGAATTAGAAGTGAGATTGTGTTGTTAATGATGAGATTGGGTTTTGGAGGAGAGGGAAGGGGGTGGGATGGGATGGGTTCTTATAGTCAGAAGAGGGTGTGGTCCAGGCTCACGTTGGTCGAGTAAAGAGGCAACGATGGGGCATGAAAGAGCGTGCAGTGCCCCCCAACCCACCAGACACAGTCATAAGGGACCCCACACTCTCCAATTGGGAATCCATACCCAAATTTGTTTAAATAATAAGCCAAACAAAACCCAAGAAGACTCAATAGTCATATTTATTGCCATGTCATGCTTCTATATCTTTACCTTCTGTAGGCATCACCCACTAGCACAATGGGTCGGCCATTACTTCAATAAGGTAGCAATATTTATTACGGAGTTGCCTTTCAATTTTCGTTGTATTTGATGATAAGGTGATCATGTTTTTATCATCACACACTCATCCAACTCTTTTTTTTACCCTAATAATTACTATATTAAAAGTGTGTGTTAGTGTTTTTTCATTATATTTTGTTGTAGGTAATTTTTGAAGAATCGTAAGTAATTAAATATAAAAGCATAAATATGTATAAAATGTATAAATTATGAACGTTCTAAACATAGTAACTTCGTCTTTAAATTTTTTAAATGAAATTTTAAATATTTTGTTAATAAAAATACAGAATCACAATTCAAACTCGTATACTGATATAAAATGAAAAAAAAAATACTAAATCATCCAACCAACTAATAATTAGTAACTTATGTACTCAAGTTATTTATTTGCCTCTATTGGTACTTTCTACTTTATTTATATAAAGTTTGTTCATTCTTTCTTCAAAGTCTGCTTAAATTTACTATATGAAAGGTTGAACAAGCTTTCTCATACATAATAATTGGTGTTTATAGAGACATAATATATGAATTTCTTTCTTCCACCACCCTAATAAGAAAATTGTGTTCTTTGTGGGTTTTGTTTCTTAGTGAGGTTGATTCCTCACTCTACTAACTAGAGATCCATCTCTTAAGTTAGGCAAATTTCTTACACAATCATATCATCAATGATCTCTTTAAACAATGCATGAGTTTCTTCAAGTCATAATGTTATGTTTTTTTTGTTTTCTTGTGTATTTTATCAATTAATGAGGTTAAATTTAGATTCGAGATAATAAATGAAAATAATGTTTACTTATGTTAAATAATGTTCACTAACGATAAATAATGTTTATTTAAAGAAGATATATTAAGATGTATATATTAAGAAACTCTAAATTTTATCTCATGAAATCACTTAATGCCCAAATTTATATGAGAATGACGATTTAAAAAGTGAGAAAATGAGAGAAACATTAAACAAGGGTGATTAGAATTGAAGAGCCTTTCACTTTTAAGCGTCTACGACTAATAAAAAATCTATGGATATTAATTTGACCTTCTGTAATCCCTCAATAGCTAATTATAACTTACGAAAATAGTGAATCTCCACAATAACTAATATTATGACTTTATAACTATGAAAACTTAAGAGTTTTTAGATTATCATATCAAATAGTTATATGGTATCTAACATTTAATTTATAACTAAATTTTAACTATGTGAGTGTTATCTACTATTTAACCATTAATATTTATGTTCAGTTAATATTATAAATAAGATTATTTTTAAATACATCAGCATTATTGAATGAATAAAATTATGTATAAAAAATATTATAAATAAGATTGTTTAAGCAGAAAGTTAACACATTCTCTTGTCAATTATCCAAAAAGTCAATTAATTAGCTTGCTGAGTTGAGTCTTACATATGAATGCATAATAACCACCTTTTTTTTCTTTGGGCAGTTTAATGAGCTGATCACATCTTATCTTTTTTCTTTGACTCCAATAACTCACCACCTTTCCTTGTGGGGTCATGGCTATACATATCCATTCACTTAATTGTATTTAATTGTTAATTAATATCATGAAATGTAATTGCATGATTAATATATAATCCAATTAAGTTGCACGATGAGATAATCACAAAGTAATTGGAGTTTTGTTGACTACACGCCTACTAAAGACAATTGGGTTTACGTGGCTTTGGCTGTCTGTGAAAGAGACCTAAAAAAATCTCAGCATCGCACAATTTTATCATTTTCAGTTTCTCTCAATCTGGAGCTGAGTTGGTCTGTGCCTACATTATCTCTTCACATACAATATATATATATATATATATATATATATATATATATATATATATATATATAATTTATGTTATTAATTTAAACCTAAATTAACCAACATGCATGATAATATTGATATACTTAATTTAGGATTTAAACCCACATGTCAAAGTATCTTTGCTTAAATTAAATTGGCTACTGGGTTGAATTTATTTATTTATTTTTTTTTTTTTTTTTTTTTGTTTCCGGTTATGAAGCTTTTACAAATCCTGGGAAGTTGATATTATTCCGAGAAATAATTTTGGGCACGTAATAATATTCCCTGGTCTAATTGGTATTAGTGGTGAATTTTAATGTGGCAGCAGACCAAAAAATAAGAAATAAGATCATCTCACCGACATTGTAATTGTTGAGATAATATATGTTGTTGTTGGAGATTTCAATTCAATTTCACATACCAGCTGGCTCTTTTATTGCTTTGATTTGACAGAGTGGTGGAATATTTATACAAAAGAGTGATTAATTATGAGCACCCACTTAAATCACATATTAATCTAAAGATTCCTAATTACGCCGGCCAGTTTAGTTGTTATGATTAATTTTTAAAATAAATCTGATCAGTAAATAAAACTCAATATTCTTCGATTATAAATCTTTTCTTAGTAAATAAGATTATGCAGTTTGCTAATTAACTTTGAAATTTGAATGTTGAAAATCTCTGAAAACATATTCTTAGGATTTAAGACTACCCTTAAACGTATGCGAAGAGTTGCCAATTAGAGCATGCAAATTATATATTTATATTAATTCCTCTATATGCAACATATAATACACGCACACGCACACGCACACGCACACACACACATATATGTATATGTACACATAAGGGTTTCTTGAAAATCATAATTAATAAATAATGATAGAGAAATTAATATATATAATAAATTAACAGCAAACTGCAAAGCTCAAAACCCGACCATGCAGCTGATTAAAGTAATAATATAAATAAGTAAAAGCAAAGCAAGGCACCACCATCTCCACTTGCTTGATCTCGTGTTTCTCCCATTTCACTTACGACGCCAACTTCCAGTAAACCCGATTCTTTTCTAACTTTGAACAGCTTTTCAAGTTATACATATATATATATATATATATAGATACATGCGTATATGTACAAATACACAGAGGGTGGAGGTTAAGCATAATTAAGCTATAAAAAAATAAAATGCACGGTAACCAAAACTGAAGAGGCCGGGAGCTTAGAATATTTGAAAGAACCAGAGTGAATTTTCTATTCACCCACTGTGATTTAAGGTTTTTTAATATAAGAACTTGGGGTTTTTTCTTTTTTTGTAATTCACTGCTTTTGAATGGTAAAATTTAGAATTTAGGCTACAATAAATTAAGAATATAATATAATGAGAAGGAGGAGGTCAGAGTTGCACGTGAAGTTCTCGTGATTCACAACACCATTGTCTCTTGTACGCTTAACAAGAATTAAAACTCACAGCTAATAACCCTTCATACTTTATTACTTAACCCATCACCATATGCTCACTCACTCTACTCCTTCATATCACTTTTACCTAATTTAATGACTTATCTTTCAAAAAAGAAAAAATACCCATGAGGTAACAAAGCTTCCTTTGGTCGGGGATACATATATATATATATATATATATATATGTAAGATTTGATTAGAGATTAATTTAGCATTAGCATCAGGAATTGTCTTCAAAAATACGTAAAAGGGATCAGCTTTTGACAGAGTTTGCTTAATGTGAAGCTGTTTAGTGAGTTACAGCCTATCAATGTTGTAGGGCTTAATTACAAACCTTCTTTCAATTGAAGCATCAACTTCAGATCTCTATCACTCCATGTATCCAGGAAGATCATTTACTGCCAACTCTGTTAAAAATTAAATATTAGGGTTTACCATTTAATTTCCTACGGGATTCCTCACGTTTAATTAAACAATGTTGTCATCTTATAATTATCAATTATACTAAAGACATGTTAATTATAATTTAAACAAAATAATTTCTTCTTTTGTACAGTCCACTGAAAAATACAGAGAGTTAATTTTAAGAGAAAAAATTTTTAGAAATATAAAAATTATGTTCGTATACAATTTCAAGCAAAACTAAAAATATATCTTTTAATTATGTTAAAATTAATTAAAAAAATTAGAATATATTTATCTGTATTTCATTTAAAATTCCTTATTAATTCGTGTTCTGTAGTTTCTTAATAAATTTTCTTAATGAATCATAATCAAAATAATAAAAGCTTTGTGTATGCCACATGCACCATGGACTACAAGAAAACTTCTCTAAGTTCTTTGCTGTTTCTTAATTTGCTTTTATAATTCAACTGTCCTGGAAACAAAAGCAACAATTTTAAATGCTATTAACAGATAAGCAGTACAACCTTATTAAAGGATGATCAAGGAAACCACAAGGAAGGTTAGACAAAGTTTGAGCCTTCATATTCAATCCATTACTGTAGAATTTTATTTCATCATAGAACTTACACGTGCATTCCACAGATTCCAGGTATGTTTCAGTAAGATTCCAGGAATTCTCTTTTATCATCCTCAAAAGTGATCATTATATACTCTATTTCAGTAAAGTTGTCATGTGCTAATCAATATTAATATTAAATCTACACAAAAACTTTTAAAAAAAAAATCATGTACAAATGTTAATCATACTTTTACTCCTGCTTTGGGATCCACCTGCTCCACCATAAGCTCCTTCTGCGTCTATTAAGCTCATCCATACTCTCATTTAATGTCCTTAAAATCTTCCTCTGAAGTCTAAGAGCTGAAGCCAGTGCATTTCTCTGCACACTTGCCTTCTTCTTGGGTTCTATCTCCTGAAAAAACGAGGAGAACTAGACCATTGATGATCATATATATAATAATAGTACTTGGAAAGAATTATAACTACTCGGGCAAGAGACAGACTCTAAGCTCCTGAAGTTGAGCTTCCGTAAAACCACCGTCCTTCGTTGTCCCAGACTTTGCCATCAGCTGAATTACCCACTTGGCAGCTTCACTATAATCCTGTTGTGTAGCTCGAAAGAACTGCAGTCTCAGGCTCTGCATGAAAGACAATGCTAATAATCCTTCCCTGTCAAAATAGGGATGGGCCAAAGCTGTCTTTGCACTGATTCTCTGTCGTGCTTTGAATCGAACCATTGATGTCAGGAGTTCCCATCCTTTTCCTCCATCTAAATCCAAGAGATCGAAACCCCTTCGAAATTCAGGGCGGAGCTCTACACCTTTCCTCCATGCGTTTAAGTCATAGTTGCACCTCTTGAGTTGGCGGTTGAACTGTATGAGGCTGCTGTCAGTGCGTAAAGAAGGGAATGCCTGCAGGAAGAGAAACGTATCAAGTTGGGTATATTCCATTGTATAACATATAGTAGATATATAGCTTAAGTAGGATGTGTTATCATCTCAAAGTTACAAGTGCAGTTGTATGGCATCACTTTGGCACGAGATTTCATTTTATCTTGGAAAAGATCGGATGCATTTCAGAGCTTCCAGCATCAAAATAAACTTTGAAATTTCTTTTTCTTCTCAAAGCTTTCAGAACCAACTTTATATTTTGATTCAGAATTGAAAAATGAGCAAAGATACCGAAGATGAAAACTTGAAATTTTTAGGCACGTTTTGATCAAAGTCATTTTGTCCTTTCGTTTTATATGTTGGCCCAACATTAGTACAATTTGTGGCGAACCTAAAGCAAAATAAAATCTCTGTAACATAGAGTATTTCGCTGAATTTCATAGTATGCCCGAATTTGTGAAATTCCTCGGCAATATTTTTTATCCACTATTCTGTTTCCTCCTTTGCATAGACTAAACATATCAAATTCTCCCCAATCCGCACCCAGAAATTTAGTCTAACTCAAGCCTATAGAACTAAAGTTATGGTTGGAATAAATTTAAAAATTGTGGAATTTTCTCCACTGTAATAAAAATTAATTTCATATAGAATTTCATGTTGAACTAGAACAATGCAAGTTAAATTAAGTGTGGATATCAAATAAGTTTCACAAAACCTTTTCCCCACTTTAGAATATCCATATGCAACGTATTATGATGAAGCTGACAATTGTGCCAAGCCAGAATGCTTAGCAGTTTCTTACTTACCATTTGTAGAAAGATGAGACCAGCACTATAGATGTCAAATCTATCTGGCAGATTCATCTGTTTGGGAACAACACGGGAACCAACAAAAAGGGATTTATGTTCTCAATTAGAAAAGAAGTTAGCATAACAGTACTCAACCTCCTAAGCTTACTAGTAAGACCGAACCTGCCAGAGAACTGGGGAAAGTGCAGTCGCCACTGGAGCTGAAGGTGCAGATGGAGTTTGTGTACTCATGATGTATTGCTCTGGTGCAGCATACCTGCAGAGAAGAGAATCAAAAAGAAAAGCATGATGAAGATCATATAAAATAGATTCCATCATATCAGGTTATATCATCTGCATCAAACTAAAATTTGGATACCATTCTGTATATTTGAGAGTTGCAAGCTAAAAGCCAAGAGATGTCCCGAATTTTTCCTCTTTTTGTTTGGGAAAGAAAAAAAAAGTTTAAGAAAAATAGTATCTAAAAAATATAGAAGAAAACAAATATAATCAACTTGGGGCATAGTCGCAGGCCTAGCCTGGGACACCACCTATCTTGAAGCATGATCATGAACCAGACCCAGGGCATAACCTGTCCCAGTGCATGGTCCTAGGCCCCCATCACGAAGCATAATCTGAACCATGGCTTGGATAGGTTAAGACCTCAAGCCAACTGGAAGCACAGTGCTGAATCTAGTTCTATCCAAAAGTATGTTACCAGCCTGGCTCATCCAGTCTCATGATACAATTCTAGGCTCGGCTTAGCCCGAGGGTCGATCATAGGCTCAGCTGTCCTAACCCAAGTCATGGCCTTAGCTCATAATTTCTTGGGGAAAAAAAAACATCAAGAAAAACATGTTAGTAATTATGCATGGCGCTTAGTAGCTCTGCCAAGAATGAGAACAATTTGTAAGGAACTTTGTCTTTCTAATATTTTAGGCCCTCTTTCTCTTCATTTTAGTCTAAATTGGAGAAAAAGAGAGCATGCCTAGATGAAGGAAAATGGACAGTTAAAAACCATACCACCATTTCTTTTTCTTCTTCTAGGAAAAACTCCTAAACAAAGAAAAGGAAAATGGTTGATGTTTTCTTTTTCACTCATTTGATACCACTCCCAAACAAAGGGAGGAAAACCATAGACATAAAGGAAATAAAAAACACAACAAAGAAAGTTATTTAGGTGCTAGTTGTGATTGAACTCAAGCAATACCTCAATTAATGAGAAGTCTCTTGATAAAGTGAGCTATTTATTTGCAGAACATTGCTGACAACAATTCCTTACATTCAGCATAACTTTACTAGGATAAAAGTTTCTGAAATAGATTTTGAGCTGAAATGAAACAGCCCCTTCATTGTGATATTAGCATTACATAGCATTGTTATAACCATTTTGTTAAATTTAGATTTTTTTCTTACCAGGTCTAGGTAGAGGAATATTTAGCTATTTTAAACTGATTCTCGGGCATGATGAATGATTGTCCGAAAATTTATCTAAATTCAGCAGCTCTTGATGAATTTCTCTCTTCTTCCACTCTATTCTTCTCATTCTCTCCTTCTTCTTTTATCTCCCTCACTATTCTCTTCTTTCTCTCATTCTAACTCTCACAACCTAAACTATCACTGGAGTGCATGTCAAAGGCTCCTAACACAAACATATACTAGTTCCTTCTTTAATATGTTAACAAGTGACCTATGTAACACAATGGGAGAAACAATACCTTGGATCCAAAAGAAATTCCTTTGGAATATAGTTAATGCCCACTCTTAAATCTGCTGCAGCTCCAAGATCAATGATTTTGAAAGTACGGGAGTCTGCTCAAGTTTTACATCAAAAAACAAGAGGTTATGTAGTTTATAAGTTGAACTGACAAAAGCTATCAGCATTAATATAACATCTGCTATTCACCTTCGGAAAAAATAATGTTTTGTGGCTTGATGTCTCGATGTACGATCCCTGTCGAGTGAAGCCCATCTAATGCAAACAAGAGTTGTCTCATGACAGTTTGAATGATTCTATTTTCCCTTTCCAACCCCTTCGGAAAATCTTGGATCTCTCCAAGAATCATGGTTTCTACCTGACATTTTATGCAAGAATAAGTTCTATAACAAACAAAAACAAGCTGCTCGCAGTTATAAAAGTGAAAATGAGCACAGGTCTACTGTCTCGATAAAGAAACATAGTGCACACAAAATTACACTTCTTGAACATTGTCTATCTGTAAGAATCAAACCAAATGGTTAAGACAGGGAGCACCTATATATGTAATCTTCTGCTAATCAAGTGGGCGATTGACTAGATATGATTTTAAAAAATAGAATACCATATATAATTTTTAATAATAAACGATTTTAACTTCATAGTTTTTTTTTTACCCCATTAGTTGCAATAAATGATAATTTTGCCATTGTTGATCATAATGCAAGATTTTTGGACCTCATAATAGTTCTGATAATCTTGACCCTGTTGGTCGCCATTTTTCTGTCCTACATTGAACCCACTAATCAAAATATTCTAACTCCCACCTTGCAACCATGAAAGTGCTTTCGTACACATTTCAATCACAACAGGTTGGTATTATATGTTACTATAATATTTGAAGGTAAAAGGATTCGGTAAAGATTACCTACAAATTCAAATGTTTGATTTGATTTCCCTCTCTCACACCTCCACAGAATGGGCTCCATCATAGATGGCAAGCTTGGATTTCAATTTCTAAATACCACAGTTTCTGCGATGGTTTGACGGGAACATCAAATAGTTGATAATGAGCAGTAAACTAGTAATATTTATGCACTTGTTGTTATCCTCTCATAACTTCATCACTTACAAACTGGAAGTAAATCGATATATGCTTCATTTGAAGAGAAGAACCAGATTGGTAGATTTTCAGAGAATGTGACTGATATGTGGCACCCACGTTCCAACAGTAAATTATCAGAGACTGAGAGGGAAAAGCAGAAGGTATCATCAAGAAGTTTTGAATCCACGCAAGCTCAGAGGCAACAGAGGCAACTAAGCAATAATCAGCTTAAGTTGAGAATAGGTTAACAGATTTTTTGTTCACTTTTATTCTAGGGTACAGGATTACCACTGATGTAAATAACATGAGCTGAATTAGACCTGCAGTCATCAGTCGCAGACCGGATCAACATCCAAGTAAACTAGTAAGGCCATTTTAGGGACTTTGCTTCAGGTAAAATGCAGGTCATGAGGAGTGTTAAAGATATGGTAAATTAGATTAAAGGACATAAGGATAAATTTTATACTTTGCAATTAATTGTGATTAATTGTGTATTTTCTTCTCCGTGTAAACCTGCATATATAACGGTGTAATATCCAATAAAATACACATCAAAACATTCTTAACATATTATCAGAGTCTATATTAAAAAAACTTCATCCTCAATTACGAACCCTACTTGGTATTCATTGCGAGATAAACAAGAAAAACTCCAAAACGGTTAGGTCAGCCTTCATAGCTGGCCACTATAAACCAGTCGCTAGCCACCACCACCAGCTACCAATAGCAGCCAAACTGGCCTTCATCGCTGCCGCCAAAACTCCTCAGCGTGCATTCAATCGAGGACCATCCCTTTGCCATAGTGACTTCCCTCTGCATTCCTCTCTGCCATGCAGAAACTCCCCAAGTGCAGTCACAGAGTTGCGCGTTGCATCCTTCGATAATGCCAAAGATTTTTTCAATTATACATTTTCATCATTCTTTGATTAGGAATGGTTTCTTCATGAATCATTTTGCATCCACACTCCACAACAAAACGGAATAGAGGAACGCAAGAATAGTTACCTTTTAACCCCTACCATAACCTTTTTTTTTTTCCAAACAATATTGTGGAGAAGTTGTTCTTACTGCCAGTTGCATTATTAATCATCTGCCTCTAAGTGTTCTTAACTTTAAAAGTTCTCTTAAAATACTTAAATAGTTCTACTCAGCAGTAAGTGCCTCTAGTCCCTCAAATATTTGACATGTTATCTTTATTCATATTCATTCCCACCAAAGAGACAAACTTGACCCCGAGACCTAAAATGTGTATTGTGACATTCTCATCTTTTCAAAAGGAATAGAAATGTTATTATCTGCTAAGTCAAAAATTTTGTGTGTTTGTAGACATATATTTGTTGAATAATAATTTTACTTCACCTGAATTTATCTTTAAGGAGAATCTATATTAAAAATAAGAACGCAAAATTTCTAAAGGATTTTAATGTACCACCATTATCATACACTTAAAAATTATCACCATAAAAGAATGTTCAAAACACATTAGAAAACTCACCACCACAAGAAAACCTTCAAAAATTCATTCTCTTAAGAGATTATACTAAGTCCTAGGTTTTCTCATGTGTATGTAAGGAGAAAGATGTCAAGTACTGAACCAAAACTAATCCAAGAATTCGTCCTTGTTCCTGGAACTAAGGTAAGTTCTAGAAAACTTATATAGTTCTCTGATAATGATATATCTATTGTACTTCGTAAAGGTATAAAGGAATGCACTAAACATCATCTGTATTCTATCTCACAATTTGTATAATTCGATAAATGTTCATCAATCCGTAATCATTTTCTCCAAAGTTTAAATAATGAATTTATCCTTAATACAATATATGTGGTACTGTCCTATAAAAAATAAAAAATATTATGAGTATGGAGATGAAGACACTTGTAAAGAACTAGAATAAGGAAATAATAAATCTATCCAAATGTAAGAAATCAGTGGAATACAAATAAGTTTTTTCAATCAAATATAAGGCAAATGAACAATCAAAAGATATAAAACTAGACTGATGGCAGAAGACTATACACAAACATATAAGATAGACTACCAAAAGACATTCGCACTAGTAACCAAAATGAATATTGGCGAATTTTGTTTTCATTAGTTGTCTACTTTGACTAGTAATTATAACATTTTGATGTACGAAATGTCTTTCTATATAGAGATTTAGAAAAATAAATGTATATGGATATTCTTCCATGTTTTGATGGAGAAGCATGAGAGAATAAGATATGCTAAACTAAAGAATGCACGATATAAACTTAAACAATCATCAAAGACGTGGTTTAACAAGTTCACAAGGGTGATGATAGATCTAGAATTCAAGCAGACTCAAATAGATCACACTGTTAATCAAACACTAAGAGACAGGGGGAGTTACAGCTCTTCTAGCATACATTGATGGTATTGTAGCAACAGAAAATAATAAGAATAAACAAACTAACACTAAAATAATGTCTGACAAAAAAAAATTCAAAATCAAATAACTAAACAAGCTAAAGTATTTTTTAGAAATTGAAATTACCCGCTCTAAATATGTGAATTTTATTTCTCAACATAAATAAATTCATTACTTGTTAAGAAACATTATTAAGTTAACATGCAAACCAACTACTATCATTAATCCTAATCACAATTAAAAATAGCATAAGAAGATATGTTAATAAATAAGGAAATATATCAAAAACTAGTTAAAAAATTGATCTACCTATCCCACACAAGAATAGACATTACATAAAAATAAATGTTATAAGTCAATTCATGCACAATCTGAAGGAAGTGCACCTACAAGCAGTATACATAATATTGCGATACCTAAAAGATTCACTAGAGAGATGAAATATGTTCAGAAAAAATGACAATTTACTCCAAAAACGTTATACTGATACAAGATTATGCAAGATTAGTTGTAAACAGAATATCTATTATTGATTACTGTACCTTCCTTGAGAGCAACCTAATCACTTGGAAAAATAAAAAACAAAATATAATCGTGAGATCAAGTACAAAATCAGAATTCTGAATGGTGGCACAAGAAATATGTGAACTATTATAGATAAAAAGAATTTTGGAATATTTTATAATCAAGTGGGAAAACTCTATGCACCTATACTATAACAACAAGTTGATTATAAGTATTGCTCACAATATAGTGCAATATGACTAGATCAAACCCATTGAGATCAAGAGATTTTGTTAAAAAAAAACTTGATAGCAATCTAATATGTATCCCATAGCAGATATGTTAACCAAAAGCATAACCAATCTAGTATTCCAAACTCTTATTGGTAAGTTAAGGATAGATAACATCTATTCTCCAACATGAGTGAGAGTGTCAAAGAGATATTACATTAGGTTACAGGGAATAAGGATAAATTACAAACCCTTTGTAATTAATTGTAATTAATTATTTTTTTTTTTCGTCCAAGAAATTTGTGTGTATGTATATATAGTTGTAATTTTCAATAGGATACACATCAAACTATTAAAAAGGAGTTGTATCTTTTAAATAATGGAGCGTGTTTACTAGCATGACAGTGCAATCTTTTCATTTTCTTCA